ATCCAGGATGCCCTCAGAAACCGGCAAAGACTGCCACTCACGTTTCACTACTGCCTAGTACTGAATCCTACCTGACTTCTTGACACGACTCAAACTTGCCAAAGTCACTAAATCAACGTCAACTACAATAATCAAGCCACATATCTGCAACGTCACGAGGGTGCTGGCAAAAGTCCTGCTGCACGGCGGCGGGCTTCCGCCGTGCAGCCCAATACGTGGCTCAAAAACCTGATTTTTTGGACTTGGAGCAAAATTCTGCACACTTTCACGTGTTTCCATGATACGACAAGTTGCGCACGGTCTGCTCACATTCAAATACAGTGCTGCCAACAAATGACAGCGTGCAACAAAAAAATCTTTCCTTGCAAGGGCACATTTTCGGCCATAACTCTTGAACGGCCGGTCAGATCGGGACCGGCACAATTTTCAGAGAATTTGCAGCTATTCATGCTCTTTCAACTGACGTAGCACTCAATATGAATTTACAAATTCGATTTTTCAGCGAATTTTTGGGTAGTCTGCCACCTTAAGGGGGACACCACCATTCGCGGCCCAAATCAGACCGCATACAATTGAAATAGACATATCATGAAAACGGATTGGCAGATTGCCTTCAAATTTTCTATGTTCAATCACTATATACTGCTCCACAATGTAGGCACCAAAAAGAGAATTTACAGTTCATCCCAGTAATGCTTGATGGGCTACACAAATTCTTCACGGGTGCGCACAAACAGCAATTTTTTTGGACAACTTTGCAGCAAGATGTATCAACATAGACAGTTCCAAAATGCAGCAAAACCCAGTCCATATGCCTATGCAGGGAATGAACTACAATGAACTCTATCTGACAGGTATTACTACCCCAAATGCAGAGACAAAACAGGACGAGCCGCAAAACGCGTAAAATAGAAGGCACTGTGGGAGCTCAAAATCCAATGTAAAAGGTCCTATGATCACCATTGTAGTTCAATCCCTGCGCAACAAGTCACTGATTCCAAAAATGTATGGGTTGATAGGTCTAAAATAAACACACTAGCCGCAATCATGTCCAAGAAGGCAGAAAAAGGCCAAAAAGCACAAACATTTAGGTGTCCTTTTCATAGATTCTAAGACTATTGTTCCAACTAAAACCCACCAGCCTCGTATGTGACACCCTCAGCTTCCACAATCTGCTCCTCAATTCCCTTCCTGCACCTCCTCCTTTGTTTCCTTCGCTGTTTTTCCTCCTGCTTCATCTTCTTCTCAGCCTTGGCCACTCTAATAGTAATACTATCCAACATGAGCTGGCGTTCTGCAAAAACGCCAGGTGCGGTTGCAGAGAGGGATATGGCCCGACTTCCACTTCTCATACTCGTCAGCTGTGACTTCACTATGCGCCTGGCGAGCTTTCCACAAGCTGAAGCCATGGCAGTACTTGGAAGCTAGATGCACATCAAGGACCTTCCCGACTTGCCAGTCAATTGCCGTAAACGCACCGTGTAGGGAGGAAAACCCGCGCTTCATTCACGTACCATCATAGGTGACAGCAGTTATATGCTTAGGCCTGTCCATTGTCTTGTTCATCTGCTGCTTCGTTCATGCTGATTTGCGCAACTGACCTTGCCGCCTTGCACAATGCTCGCTGGTGCCGCTGGAATGCAGATAGCTGAACAGGTGGGGCAAATTCATGAGGCCGCAAAAAAATTGCCAGCCAACATGGCCAATTCCCAGCGTGCGCAATGCCAGAACACTGCGGCGATTGCACTCATAAAACTGTCCTGACTTCTCCACCACTGGCAGGCTGGTGCCTGCTGAACACTGGCTCTTTATTGCAGCATGTGATTCTGACAGTGGATGCAAGGCCAGAACGTGCAGTTTCAGCAATGGTCAGCTCACCTCCACAGTATTTTACACGAGCAAGCAGAGAAAATCAAATTTCGTAAACAATTCAAGTCCAGTGGCGTCTGAATCACAACTTTCAGCGATTGGGCCATGACAGTATTCAGAGAACGAGGAATCACTTGAGGGAGCAACTGTCTGAGTTCGAGGCCAGCGTACATCCATCAAAGCTCTCCTCCGAATCCGACTCACCATCGCTCAGTTGAATCCATTAATTTTTTATTATGATCACTGCATTCTTATTTTTGGAACGCCATCGTACAACTTGCGCTTCGAGGCGGACTCTGGCACTGCTTCAGCTTCATAAACTCCCTCAGCAGCTTCCTGGACAGGTGCTGCGTGCAGTGAGAATCCTCTCTTTGCAGGACGCTTGCACGACCTGCTCTTCTTGTTCCCCATTGTGCATCGCGCTCGAAACTGCAACAGCAAAGATTAAGAAGTCCTTTGGGAAAGAATTTTTTGCACTTTTTTTGCACGTGGCACGGGTCACTGCTGCCATGGCAACAAAATTTGGAAGTAAAAGCGCTTCAAAACCCCCAAACTCCACGGCCACAATCTTGACAGCTCGTTTAGTGCACGAGCATCGCGATGTGTACAATTTTTTTCAACTTTTTAGTGTACATGTACGAACATCGATGTGTACAAATTTTTCAAATATTTTCAAATTTCAAACGGTCATATGACTGCAACGGTTGGTCCGAATCGCTTCAAATTTGGAATACTGACACCTCAGCTCAGGGCATATGCTTTGATTTCCAATAGCAAAAAGGTGACAAATCGAAAGTTGATTTTTTGACCCCTGGAAGGTGGTGTCCCACCTTGGGGGCAGCCTACCCATAAATTTCATATGGCATTCAATTGACCGTAACTTTGGTGCTTCTCAATGGATTTGAGTGAAATTTTGACCACACACTCCTGCCACTATGCTGGCCCTCAGGCCATGATTTACAAGTTCTTGCGCCTCACTGACAGGCTTTCCAGACCGGAAAAACTCAAATTTCCGGCATAGTGCCACGGTGTGCGAGCCACCCAGGAGCCAAACAAATGCATTTACAATTTTTTTTAGGTTTAGGGTGTGCTACGAGGTCGTACCTTTGATACAACATCCAGTGCTGGGACCTCCACAGCAAGCCATTTCCACAGCGCTGCACACCAAATCCAGGATACCCTCAGAAACCGGCAAAGACTACCACTCACGTTTCACTACTGCCTAGTACTGAATCCTACCTGACTTCTTGACACGACTCAAACTTGCCAAAGTCACTAAATCAATGTCAACTACAAAATTAATAATCAAGCCACATATCTGCAACGTCACGAGGGTGCTGGCAAAAGTCCTGCTGCACGGCGGCGGGCTTCGCCCGCCGCCGTGCAGCCCAATACGTGGCTCAAAAACCTGATTTTTTGGACTTGGAGCAAAATTCTGCACACTTTCACGTGTTTCCATGATACGACAAGTTGCGCACGGTCTGCTCACATTCAAATACAGTGCTGCCAACAAATGACAGCGTGCAACAAAAAAATCTTTCCTTGCAAGGGCACATTTTCGGCCATAACTCTTGAACGGCCGGTCAGATCGGGACACAATTTTCAGAGAATTTGCAGCTATTCATGCTCTTTCAACTGACGTAGCACTCAATATGAATTTACAAATTCGATTTTTCAGCGAATTTTTGGGTAGTCTGCCACCTTAAGGGGGCAGCCTACCCATAAATTTCATATGGCATTCAATTGACCGTAACTTTGGTGTTTCTCAATGGATTTGAGTGAAATTTTGACCACACACTCCTGCCACTATGCTGGCCCTCAGGCCATGATTTACAAGTTCTTGCGCCTCACTGACAGGCTTTCCAGACCGGAAAAACTCAAATTTCCGGCATAGTGCCACGGTGTGCGAGCCACCCAGGAGCCAAACAAATGCATTTACAATTTTTTCACATTTTCGTGCTCATTCTGTTCGTGCGCGGGACTCAAACCTAGAACAAGTCCAGAAGCAGCCATGGGTGATGGGGTATCGAGGTAGCTGAGACTTGCCCCGTCTCACTCACGGCCGCTGGGATCTTTGTGCAAGTCATCTATTGCATGCTCAGGATCCTAGGAACTGACAGAAACTGGTCAAACATGCCCGGGGGCACGCACATGCACATGCCAGAAGACTTGAAAGACAGCAGCTAGCAGCAGCAGTAGCAGCAGCAGCATGCTAGCAACAACAACAACAGCAACAGCCCTCCAACACATCATTAACGCCTACACATAGACGGACCCTGTTCATCCGCGACCACCCAAATGTACCGTCTGCTGCATACCAGACCACACCCAAGCCGCTACTGCATGTGTCGAGCTAGTTGCTCAGACAGAGCCGCCATGTCATTATGGTGACACGTGTTTGGCAACAAGAATTTTAGGACAATCAGAATGACAACACCAACACCACCCTGGTCTGTATCAGTGTATGGGTTCATCCGCGACCACCCAAATGTACCGTCTGCTGCATACCAGACCACACCCAAGCAGCTACTGCATGTGTCGAGCTAGTTGCTCAGACAGAGCCACCATACCATGTCATTATGGTGACACGTGTTTGGCAACAAGAATTTTAGGACAATCAGAATGACAACACCAACACCACCCTGGTCTGTATCAGTGTATGGGACTGCACCCTAAGACATGATGTCATCAGCTCTTTGTCCATATTTGATGAGAAGAGCGTAGCATTGAATCGTGATTGCTGATTGGTTACAGGTAGTGTTGTTATGTGGGAATGGGGTAGGTCCCCGATGCGAGTAGTAGTCTTCATGTATGGCTGTGATTCTTGTCACCAATGATTATGTGGCAATGATTATGTCAGCAACACCTAAGTCCTTTTATGATCTCGGTCTGACAGAGCGGCGCGGGTGCCCGGGGGCCGGGGGGACGACATGGTGCAGACGCCAGACGTGTAGCGTATCACCAGTATAGTAATGACTAATGTATGACTCATGAGTAGATCGTCGGCGCGCGTCGTTCGTGGTCTCCGAGACAGAGAGCATCTCCGGCTCCTGCCATGTGACGCACGATTCCTTCAAAGATTAGCTAGCCTATGTCTATGAGTATGATTACATCGCTATTTGGTCAGCACCGCTCAGTCTTCCATTTCTCACGGCACAGACCTGTTGTCCGTTTTTGTCACCCTCCCAGGCTTTCTCATTTGTTTCAACCGTCTTCTAGTGTTGTTGAACAGTCCCTACCTACCTTTGTTAGTCGTGCATTATCCTTTCCAGTCATTGTTGCTCTTTCTCTCAACTACTAATCAGTCTGTAGTGGCTACAGCGCTCTCTCAGTGAGTAACAAGTTCAGCACAACGCTCTCCCAGTGAGTAACAAGTTTAGCATAACGCTCTCTCAGTGAATAACAAGTTCAGCATAACGCTCTCCTTCTCTCAACGACCTACGTATTCCAGTCAGGCTACACCGCCAACGTCTGAAGAAGATTTCACGGAACGGACAACTCACTCAGTAAGTAAAAATACAATCATGTGTTGAAATCCCCCTACAGCATTAGTATCACTGATAATGGTGATATAGCACACTGTGACTATGCCTACTCCAGAGCTATAATTGTAGGTCATCAGGCGGAGTGACACGGTTGAGAACTAGCGCTATAGCGGGTGTGCACATGCTTGGTAGAAACCAGCCTGACTGACCTGGTTGACATACCGGTAATAGAGAGGTTTCGACCCGCGTGATTTGTGCTCTTACGTGAACGTCAATTTTTTGCGGTGACGCGAGCTCAGAAAGAGCTTTCGTTTTGCGTTGCTTGTGAAGCACGCCGTTTCGCTGACGACAGGAGCGAAAACTTCAAAAAGTGAAAAAATTGATTTTTGGTGAGCTTAGAATTTGAAAGTAGGTTGAAGTTTTGTTTCAGTAGGGGTTGAGAAGTGTTGTGAGGCCGCGCCGATGATGGATCAACACCAACAAGCTGTTTTTGTTGCTGCCGTGGGACTAGGTGGCCGAGCTCTGGCCCAATCCGCTCAGTTCAAGACATCATGATGGTATGTTTTTAAAGCGGATGGGCCAGAGCTACTTGAACCACTTGAACTTGAACAGGGGACTCCTGATTTGAGGCAGAAGATACTGGACTCACACTGGCAGACATCGCGATGGAATGAGCTACGCTGAAACTAAGACGGGCGATTCGCCAACTTCTAGTACATGTAACTACATGTAATTACTTCCTCCTGTATCAGAAAGCAGAGTGACTTTCTTTTCCTTTCAATCTCCGGCATGTTCCATTGCGACGCATAAGTCGGGATTCCCGCCAGGAGGCCAAAGTCGCATAAACTATTATTTATAGCTAGTTTAGGCAAAATCGACAAAATCGAGTCAATAATCCCAACCTGATAGCAAGGCTAAATTTGCAAAAACTCGCGTTCACGTTGAACGTGAGTTGACCTCAGCTCACGTCAAGAACGGGAGTTTCGACGCCAAAATTTGCCACACCGACGTGAAATTTCACGGTGTAGTGCAGAACAACGTGAAACGAAACCTCTCTATTGGCACGGGTGTTTCGCAGTGGCCACTCGTCAAGATGGCGGCAAATCCGAGAGTACAAAAATTTCGACTCTGGCTATGTGCGCGGCGGATGCGAATCTCGCATGTGCATGCAAAATCTAGCCTTCTGCAGATCTGGGTAGAGCAAGTATGTTGGAACGACGACCATTTCCGAGAGAGAATGTGGCTCTTTTCCTCCCAACATTTTACTCGCCACGCTCTCCCTCCCAGCTTATTGGTACGAGTATTTGCTACCGAGTAGAAGTCTCCATCTTCACAGCAGGCCAGGCAAAATCGCAACGTTGAAATACTTTGCTCACTTGGTTTTTTGGTCCTTTGAGGTGTTGATGTGGTTGTTGTGTACAACTCGAAGTGACAAACTTGAGACCCCCGCGCCACAAAAAACTAAGGCGCGCCACAAAGTTTCGTTTGGCTGTTCAATGAAAGGACGTATGGAAGCAGGGATAAAAACTATCGTGGCTGCCAGCAAAACTCCTAGTAATGTAATAAACGGGGACGTGCCTTTGGTAATTCCGAGGAGAATGTACGCACGGCCATTCCACAACGAAGACGAAACTACGAGCTCAAAAACACTCCGATTTTCAAACAAACGACGCAGGAAAGAAGATATGGCCGCAGTGTTCCCGTGTGGCCTTCAAAACACCTAATTTTACTCCGATAGCGGCTGGTTCAGGGCAAATTCAGGCCCAATTCGACAGCGTCGTACCGCTCAGATTCGCCCAAAACATGAGGAAATGTACGGTAGACCCGAATGCGTACGCATTTTGCGTACGGGGACGACTGGCCAGAGTTCATGCACTGCAAACACCCGTGATTGGGTGTATTAGGGACCTTTAGCACCACGTTGTTTACGACGTAAGCCTGACGTAGGGCCATGTCCGGGTTCGGGGTACAATTTTATGGAAACAAAGAAAAATGATGGTACCTATGTACAGGGGATGGCCCACGCCTGGTATAAAGTAAACGTAAAAGAGAAAAAAGTAGTACAGTGAAATCGATCACAATAGTTCAGTTCCCACACAATACCGCTCCTGAGCCGGATCAGACCACAATCCTAGCCTCGGCAACCGCCAGTGCGGCAGAAGCAGAGACAAGGCGGTGGCAGTGGATCGGTCGGCGGGCACCCCGAAGACAGGCAACACTTGCACGCAGGAGGGCGAAGCTCAGCCGGGCACGAATCCAGGCCATGACAGAGGAGTAGGCTTCACGAGTCTTCTCGGACACCCCTCTGGTTCGGGGTCACGTCGCGACGTAGGATGTACGTTCATCAGGCAACGTTTTCGACGTAGAAAAGGCCTTTTGTACGTTGTGACAGGACGTAGGAATTTGCCTTTGCACTTGCACCAAGAGGGCAAGAGTTCAAAAAAACATCGATGTTTTGATGTTGTAGTTTTTGTTATTCAACCGACGAGGTACTAGGTACGATCGATCGAGAGGCGTAATTTTATTCTTTGCTATCTTTGTTTTGTGTTTCGGTATGGCTGCCGAGGACACGCAGACTAAGGCTGTGTGCCAGAAATTTCGTTTTGGAGCCAAGGAGGACAGTCATCAATTTGTTGAAAGAAGTAGTGGCAGCGTCGAGCAAAAAGCCCTTCTCTCGTGGCTCGCCGGCCTGGAACACTGTACTCCTGAATTTGGCAACTATATACCACGCCAATTGGAAGCCGGTAACCATCCGTACACTTCGAGATAGAACTCATTTGCTGGTGACTCGGACTAATTTGCGAAGTACTGTACAATCATGTAGTTTACTAAAAAAACAGTCTTTTCATCCACATTTCCCGCGAGGAACTTTGAAATCACGCGCGCCATTCTGCTTGTTCCTGTGGCAACGACGTCGATCCATAATTACGTCTCGCTAAAGGCTAGCAAGTATGCAAAACACGTATCGCGCACCCCGATCGACGTGATCAAGTACGTCAAAAGGCCTACGTTGTAATGTGGTGCTAAAGGTCCCTATTTGCTCACGTTAGCGACTGAATCATTCGATTCACTCCCCTAGACCCTGTCCTCGCACTGAGTGCTACATCTAATTATTCTTATCGGTCTAGTTAGCAACTGTGGATCGTTCAGTAGCGGTTCATGACCTGTAAATCAAAGTCCAAAGTTCAAACAGTGAGTTACTCCTTTGCTGCACCATTCCGTCGAGCAGCTGAATACCTTCTTGCAGGTGTAGGCCCTCCGGACTTCCACGTCAAGTTTCTTCTTTTTTCTTCGCTGCTACTTGAAGACAACGTTCAACAAAACGGCAAGGATGACTTTCTTCAATGCAGCTCTTCCCTTTAGACTCACTAACTGTAGTCGTGTTCGTCTATGAGAAGTTCAACGGTGACTTTACCCGTATTGCAAGTTAGAAACTGAATAGACCATTTTCAGAACTCTCAATAGATCAGAGAAGTTCATCATGTTTCCTACACTTAGGCCACCCTTTCTTTTTTCGTTGTTTAACGTCCGCACCCGCGTATCTTTTTGCCTCAGACTGGAAAAAAAAACAAGAAAGTAGTAGTACCAATAATATGCGAAGTTGTAAATACATGATTGTGTAGTTTCACAGTATGCCGATCATGACCTTAAACTTATAATCTTGCCTCCCGGGCATGCCTTTGTCTTGTGTTCTTTTTCTTTTTTTGTTGGCTTTTAAATATGGTACGGTGTGTGTCCTAGTAAAAATCCAGATGTACTCCATGCTATGTGCCTGTTTTGTTGGATTCATCAGGCATGTGCTCCAATGTACCATCAACTTGAAGAGTGTTGTTCTATGCCTGCAAGTGCCGTTAGACCCAGAAATATTGTATATATCACATGCTTTACTGGTCAAAATGTTTGATTGGGGTTTCCAGTTTTTGGAATGGGCTTTTGTTTTTTTTCCGCCCTCCCGCGTACCTTTTCGCGAAAAAAAGGACGTTAAACAATGAATTAACAAAGGGTGGCCTTAGTGAGAAAGAAGAGAAAAGTAGATCGTTTTCACTGTCATCAACGTATCTCCAGCAAGGAATGTAAGTTACAAGTGGTGGCACTCCATCTCTTTCTCTTCGTTTACTTCCCATATTTTCGTTAGTACTGTCGTCTCGTTGGTGTCCATCAGGGAGTCGTACTCAAACTTAGTTTGAGTACGACTCCCTGGTGTCCATCTTTGTCCTTGTCCCGTGTCGCAACGTGACGGCCATTCAGGGACCTACTAATTGACCTCTTGTAGACGAAGTACATTTCAGTTCTTTGTAACGAAGGTAGTCTTGACGAGCAAGAGCAGTTATAAATATTTCTACTTGGTCCGTTTCATCGCAATTGTCGCTTATCTATCGCAACTAAGAACAAGAGTTATTTTATCGCTCTGTAAAATTTCCAATACGCATAGTGAAGAAGCATGATACAGGATGCCTGTCCGCCACAATAAAAATAATTCAGCAATGGAATCTGATGAAGCAAGTCGAGAAAGGAAGCAAGGTTACAAAAAATGTGCAAAAGAAAACAGCGACGGAGCGCGTTCTTGCACTCACGCTTTAGTTTATCCGACTCTGGCTCTGTATCATTCGAGCTGATGTCACTTGAGCTGACATTTGCTGGTGTGTATAGCTGCTGGCGCCATGGCGTAGAGTATCTCTTGCTTTCTCCGCTTGGCGTATGACAGCGATGGGAAAGGAACAATCGTGGCTGTCACTCTGGCACTTGGAGGAACGTGGGCAGCGTGACCCGTGTGTCACCACTGTGTGTTTCAACAATGTTTTTGAATCAGGCACACATCCCTCTCCAGACAGCTGTCATACGCTCTGCTGGATACGCTGACCACGACTCTTGTACTGCAGCTGCCAGGTCGGACAATGTCTTCTTTGCCACCAATTCGCCATCAGTTTGCAGGCTTGCAAAGAGTGCCAGGTCGTCGCACTTGCAGTTCAAACGTGGCGACTGAGCTGGCTGGCCTGGCCGTGACTGTCACGCTCTCAAGGTCAGGATGTCGATTTCCCCTGCTACAGTTCCGGTCTTTGAGCTGCGTTTGGCTTTTCGCTGCAGTGAATGTGTGCATTCACTGCAGTGCATTCACTGCAGCGAAAAGTTCCCCACTTTCCCAACACAATCGTACGAATCGCGATGCCACTGGCGCTAGTCGCGATGGTTTTTTCTTTCTGGTCTCCTTTGATCTTGCCTTCACAACCTCCCAAACAAATGGGAGTTAGATATCGAGATCGGGCTGGGATTTACCTGTCAAAAGGTGCGTGGGAGATAAGCGACAATTGCGATGAAACGGACCAAGTAGTTGCGATCGACATGAAGATTTACTCAAATATCAAGTGTTCGCTGTAACCACGGTAACTGTTCGTGCTTGTCAAGTTGAAGAAGTAGCTGTTGTTCCATTCATTTTGTGTGGAGACCTTTCTTCGAACTGGCGTTTTCTTCTTGGTTATGAACGGTACGAGAGTTGGTGTTGTTTGAGGTGGAGAGCAGTATTCTTTCGTTGATAGTTGTCGTAGGCAGTTGTAGTAATGAGGTGTAACATTTGTCGGTGGTTTCTGTGGTTTTGCTGAAACAGGTAAATATTAATTGCAGTGTGTTGTGAAGATGTCCAGATGTCCCCGGGATGTCGTTCATTGATCAGTCGTCTTCACCTTTTTCAGCTACTGACACAGTCATTGACTGACGTAGCTGCATGTCCGTGGACGTGGGGTCAAAGGGTATTCCACTCTAAATATGGTGTTGGATATGACGTCATGATGAGTGTGTATGTGTGTGTGCGTACACATCAGTGCCAGCTAGTTCGGTTGGTGGGTACACTTATGCCTGATTGTGTTGGGTCTGCTGCATGATGGTGTATTGTTGTATCTGCCACCTTTGTTGGTTTCAGGGTTCATATACTTTCTATTTGAAGTATACATACCTGTTAACCATGGTCTGCTTCTGGCTAGATTAACTCTTGTGTAATCAATGGTGCTAGTGACGCTTATATCAGATTCACTCTGATTTAGCCCCCCACACTAGTAGCAAGTATTACCTTCACTGGGGGCAGGGGTAACTGCAGTTGGATCCCTGGACGGATACCCTGATGCCGTCAATCCTTTTTCTGTACCTTGTCCTCACCCACTTACTGAGGTGTGGTGAGCCCATAAGTGGGATCATTTTCAAGTCCACCCAGAGTTTTGGGGATTTCAGGGGGTGTCGGCCGTTGGGCGGTTCAATAGCCAATTGAGCCATCTTTCCAAGATTCCTTTTGAGTCTCTCTCCCCTCTCCCGGGGAGACCCACGTGACCAGTTTTGGCAGTGAGCAGTACAAGTACAAGTACGCATCAGTGTAGATACAAGTATTGACATGTGAGATCAATCTTGTTTGGATCATTGTGTATGTCATAGTATGGGAGTACTTGTTGTCTTTCTTACCTCTTATTTTCTGTCCCCTTGACTGTCCATCTGTATGTGTGTCTGTTTGTATCTGTCTGTCCATCTGCGTGTGTGTGTGTGCATGTGTGTGGCAGTCTGTCTGTCTGCCTGTCTGTCTGTCCTAAGTTTCGTTTGGCTGTTCAATGAAAGGACGTATGGAAGCAGGGATAAAAACTATCGTGGCTGCCAGCAAAACTCCTAGTAATGTAATAAACGGGGACGTGCCTTTGGTAATTCCGAGGAGAATGTACGCACGGCCATTCCACAACGAAGACGAAACTACGAGCTCAAAAACACTCCGATTTTCAAACAAACGACGCAGGAAAGAAGATATGGCCGCAGTGTTCCCGTGTGGCCTTCAAAACACCTAATTTTACTCCGATAGCGGCTGGTTCAGGGCAAATTCAGGCCCAATTCGACAGCGTCGTACCGCTCAGATTCGCCCAAAACATGAGGAAATATACGGTAGACCCGAATGCGTACGCATTTTGCGTACGGGGACGACTGGCCAGAGTTCATGCACTGCAAACACCCGTGATTGGGTGTATTAGGGACCTTTAGCACCACGTTGTTTACGACGTAAGCCTGACATAGGGCCTTGTCCGAGTTCGGGGTACAATTTTATTGAAACAAAGAAAAATGATGGTACCTATGTACAGGGGATGGCCCACGCCTGGTATAAAGTAAACGTAAAAGAGAAAAAAGTAGTACAGTGAAATCGATAACAATAGTTCAGTTCCCACACAATACCGCTCCTGAGCCGGATCAGACCACAATCCTAGCCTCGGCAACCGCCAGTGCGGCAGAAGCAGAGACAAGGCGGTGGCAGTGGATCGGTCGGCGGGCACCCCGAAGACAGGCAACACTTGCACGCAGGAGGGCGAAGCTCAGCCGGGCACGAATCCAGGCCATGACAGAGGAGTAGGCTTCACGAGTCTTCTCGGACACCCCCCGGGTTCGGGGTCACGTCGCGACGTAGGATGTACGTTCATCAGGCAACGTTTTCGACGTAGAAAAGGCCTTTTGTACGTTGTGACAGGACGTAGGAATTTGCCTTTGCACTTGCACCAAGAGGGCAAGAGTTCAAAAAAACATCGATGTTTTGATGTTGTAGTTTTTGTTATTCAACCGACGAGGTACTAGGTACGATCGATCGAGAGGCGTAATTTTATTCTTTGCTATCTTTGTTTTGTGTTTCGGTATGGCTGCCGAGGACACGCAGACTAAGGCTGTGTGCCAGAAATTTCGTTTTGGAGCCAAGGAGGACAGTCATCAATTTGTTGAAAGAAGTAGTGGCAGCGTCGAGCAAAAAGCCCTTCTCTCGTGGCTCGCCGGCCTGGAACACTGTACTCCTGAATTTGGCAACTATATACCACGCCAATTGGAAGCCGGTAACCATCCGTACACTTCGAGATAGAACTCATTTGCTGGTGACTCGGACTAGTTTTCGAAGTACACGTACAGTACAATCATGTTTAGTTTACTAAAAAAAGTCTTTTCATCCACATTTCCCGCGAGGAACTTTGAAATCACGCGCGCCATTCTGCTTGTTCCTGTGGCAACGACGTCGATCCATAATTACGTCTCGCTAAAGGCTAGCAAGTACGCAAAACACGTATCGCGCACCCTGATCGACGTGATCAAGTACGTCAAAAGGCCTACGTTGTAATGTGGTGCTAAAGGTCCCTATTTGCTCACGTTAGCGACTGAATCATTCGATTTACTCCCCTAGACCCTGTCCTCGCACTGAGTGCTACATCTTATCGGTCTAGTTAGCAACTGTGGATCGTTCAGTAGCGGTTCATGACCTGTAAATCAAAGTCCAAAGTTCAAACAGTGAGTTACTCCTTTGCTGCACCATTCCGTCGAGCAGCTGAATACCTTCTTGCAGGTGTAGGCCCTCCGGACTTCCACGTCAAGTTTCTTCTTTTTTCTTCGCTGCTACTTGAAGACAACGTTCAACAAAACGGCAAGGATGACTTTCTTCAATTCAGCTCTTTCCTTTAGACTCACTAACTGTAGTCGTGTTCATCTATGAGAAGTTCAACGGTGACTTTACCCGTATTGCAAGTTAGAAACTGAATAGACCATTTTCAGAACTCTCAATAGATCAGAGAAGTTCATCATGTTTCCTACACTTAGTGAGAAAGAAGAGAAAAGTAGATCGTTTTCACTGTCATGAACGTTTCTCCAACAAGGAATGTAAGTTACAAATGGTGGCACTCCATCTCTTTCTCTTCGTTTACTTCCCATATTTTCGTTAGTACTGTCGTCTCGTTGGTGTCCATCAGGGAGTCGTACTCAAACTTAGTTTGAGTACGACTCCCTGGTGTCCATCTTTGTCCTTGTCCCGTGTCGCAACGTGACGGCCATTCAGGGACCTACTAATTGACCTCTTGTAGACGAAGTACATTTCAGTTCTTTGTAACGATGGCAGTCATTGACTGACGTAGCTGCATGTCCGTGGACGTGGGGTCAAAGGGTATTCCACTCTAAATATGGTGTTGGATATGACGTCATGATGAGTGTGTATGTGTGTGTGCGTACGCATCAGTGCCAGCTAGTTCGGTTGGTGGGTACACTTATGCCTGATTGTGTTGGGTCTGCTGCATGATGGTGTATTGTTGTATCTGCCACCTTTGTTGGTTTCAGGGTTCATATACTTTCTATTTGAAGTATACATACCTGTTAACCATGGACTGCTTCTGGCTAGATTAACTCTTGTGTAATCAATGGTGCTAGTGACGCTTATATCAGATTCACTCTGATTTAGCCCCCCACACTAGTAGCAAGTATTACCTTCACTGGGGGCAGGGGTAACTGCAGTTGGATCCCTGGACGGATACCCTGATGCCGTCAATCCTTTTTCTGTACCTTGTCCTCACCCACTTACTGAGGTGTGGTGAGCCCATAAGTGGGATCATTTTCAAGTCCACCCAGAGTTTTGGGGATTTCAGGGGGTGTCGGCCGTTGGGCGGTTCAATAGCCAATTGAGCCATCTTTCCAAGATTCCTTTTGAGTCTCTCTCCCCTCTCCCGGGGAGACCCACGTGACCAGTTTTGGCAGTGAGCAGTACAAGTACAAGTACGCATCAGTGTAGATACAAGTATTGACATGTGAGATCAATCTTGTTTGGATCATTGTGTATGTCATAGTATGGGAGTACTTGTTGTCTTTCTTACCTCTTATTTTCTGTCCCCTTGACTGTCCATCTGTATGTGTGTCTGTCTGTCTGTTTGTATCTGTCTGTCCATCTGCGTGTGTGTGTGCATGTGTGTGGCAGTCTGTCTGTCTGTCTGTCTGTCTGTCTGTCTGTCTGTCTGCCTGTCTGTCTGTCCATCTGTGTGTATCTGTCTGTGTGTCTGTGCTGTGTACGCATTGTCCCTGTACAGACATGTCCAGTGAACAAGTAGAATTGTTTGCTGAGGCGGTACGGCAACCGGGTGCCACAATGGAAGATCTTCAGGATGCTGTGCCTCCTGAGCAGCCGCAATTGTCCTCCACATCACGTAAAGTGAGATGGGAATCACCATTTATGACATCATACTGGGGGAGAAAACACTGCTACTCAATGGGAGTAAGTAGAGTGTTGCTGTACAGCGTGTGTGTGTGTGGGGGGGGGGGGGGGTTCTCTTTGACACCTGGTCTTCTTGTCTGTACCATTGTCAAGTGATTGTTGTCCAGTGGGAATCGTTGGTGTGACATAACTTTACAAGATGTGCAATTGCTGCAAGCTTCTCTCAAGCTGGAATAAAGTTATGGCAATTTGTCTGGTTTGGATCGCTGATCCCTGAGGTCAATCAGTAGGTTTCCTAACCCCTAACGGCATTGTACTGAGAGTATTGTTGCTGTCGTTTTTGTAATTGTCAAATCGTTTCTTTCTGTTTTGTATATCACACAGACAATGCTCCTTTTTGTGATCTGCTCGGAGGGTCTGCATTTGGGTGAGGATTTCCTCTCCACTATTGTACACTACATATTTAGTGTACATAGTGTCGAAGTGAATGAGGAAGAAGCAACTGAGGTAAGTTGTTGTGTTCTTGATTGTTACAAGACTCAGCACTGTTCAGTTTTTGTCAGGGTTGTTCTTTTTGTCTGTGTGTGTGTGTGTGTGTGTGTCTGTTTTTCTGTCCGCTGTCTGTCTGTCTGTCTGTCTGACGTTTCACTCCTTTGTTTCTGTATCCCTGCACTGTACTATGTATCCGTCTGTCCACAAGCCCCAAGATCTCGCGTCATTGGGATGTTCAACTAACTGTGTGTCTGTCACGTGTGTGTGTGTGTGTGGGTGCGTGGGTGTGTGTGTGTGTGTATGTGTATGTGTGTGCGTGTGTGTGTGTGCGCGCGTGTGTGTGTGTGTGTGTGTGTGTGTGTGTGTGTGTGTCCCCCGATTCCCCCGATTGCTGAGCAGCGAGGGGCTTGCCAATGTGGAGATTGTGGGCGTTGGTTTCGCAGCAAGGGTGGTCTAGCTGTTCACCGCTGTTCCGCACCTCAGCCTCAGCCTCCCGAGCCCCGGCAAGTCTATGTGCAGGATGCCTGCTGTGCTGCGCACTGTGATGTGTGTGCCCGCTGCTTTCGGTCTGTGCAAGGCCGCGGTCGTCACCGGTGCTCGAGGACTGGCCCGCGCCCGACTGCCCAGCAGCGTAATTCGTTCAGCCATGTATGCGTGTGTTCTCGCCGGTTCCGTTTGCCCCACCATCTCCGGCGTCATCAGGCTGCGTGCTCCATCTTCCTCTCTGATGCCCCTCCGGGGCCCACGTGACCCCTGTGGCAGTGGCTCTACAGGACAGGACAGGACAGGTGTGTGTGTGTGTGCACGCATGTGCCTGTGTGTGCATGTGTGTGTATGTGCGTGTGTGTGTGTGTACGTGCGTGTGTGTGTGTGTGTACGTGCGTGTGTGCGTGTGTGTGTGAAAAAAAAAAAAAAAAAAAAAAAAAGACCAAAAATAGGGATTCACTGGCCAGAAAAAGTCACTTCAAATAGCTGTATGGTGTAGACCAGGCTGAATAGTGACGGTCAATTCTTCAGCCTTGCAAGCTGTTGAATGGTGCAATCCCAGCACAAGTTGCTATGGCTTCTGCCGTAGCATTGCTATCATCGCCTCCGGCGATGGGCGTCAAAGGTCAAAGGTCAAAGGTGTGTGTGTGTGTGTGTGTGTGTGTGTGTGTGTGTGTGTGTGTGTGTGTGTGTACAGGACAACTGGACACTACTGCACTACTGTGCAGCGTATGGAAATGATCGACTAGCAAGTATACTCATCGGAAAAGGAGCTGATGTCAATGCGCCGGGGCGGAGAGGGGTAAGAACTAATGTAGGTTTGCAGCGTACGGCAAACCGTAGTTGTCGCTGACAACCGAGCAGCAGGCAAAAGCCACGCGCGTTGCTAGGCGCGCAACAATGGGGGTGTCTGGCATGCAATGGCGGGCAGCCGTACTGGGGAAAGCCCAGTCCGCAGTACGAGTACGCCCATATGCGCGGGCGAGACTACCCCATATTTGCATAAAGGTATCAGCGCTACTAATGCAATGTTTACTACAAGCAGGGCTCATGGCGCCTAATCTCTATATTAGGAAGCAGTTCCTTTCATGGCACGAAAGGACTCCAGCGCGCGTACTAAGCCTCAGCCAAGGTACAGTACTAACCGAGTATGCAAGATAGAACAGGCGGTGTGGCGGAGCAAACATACCACGTATGGAAGAGGCAAAGTCCCCGGATGCCGCCCGGTCCACAATGACAGACACCACCATGCTTATATGGGAAATAAGGTGCGAGAGCCCACCAGGTAAGGCGGGCCGCATAAGCACGTGGCAAGCGCAAATAGCGTAAGACGTACCCACGAAGCCACAACGCGAGAGTACGGCAGCATGAGCAGAGTACGAGAGTACGATGCCGGATCAACGCAGGGCGGACCAAGGTGTGGTAGTGCCACAGCACGAGGCACCTCAGCCGTTGGAGGTGGCGAACGCAGGGACAGCATCAATATTGGCAGCTAGCAGCAGCAGCAGATAGGCGTGATTTTTTTCTTCAAGACTAGCAACGAGGAGCAGCAGGCAACCCTTGTTTCACTCGTGATTGCTTAATCACATGTCAAAAACAACAAAAATGCAACCCCATTCTATGGTGCTATGATGTGTGTGTCTCGGGGGGAGGGGCGATAAGTGATAGTTTAGAGTCTGGTTGTCTCAACTGGATTCTCAGTTTCTATGTTCCTACATGTCTATCTGTCTGTCTGTCTGTCTGTAAGACAATCTGTTCATTGCTTCTGCATGTGTGTCCTTCTGTTTGTATGTCCACGTGTGTATGTACATCTGCATGTGTGTGTGTGCATGTGCATGTGTGCGTGTGTGTGCATGTGCATGTGTGCGTGTGTGTGCATGTGCACCCGTACGTGTGTGTGTGCGCGCGCGTGTGTGTGTGTGTGTGCGCGCGCGCGCGTGCGTGTGTGCGCGCGCGTGCGTGTGTGCGCGCGTGTGTGTGTGCGCGCGCGCGTGTGTGTGTTCTCTTTCTCGGACTCTTCCTGACTTTTCTTTCATTCTCCTGGGTGGTTACCAACAGCCAGTGTATGCCGGAGTATGTGGTGTGGTGTGTGTGTGTGTGTAGAAAAAAAAGAAAAAAAGAAAAAGAAAAAAGAAGAAAATGGGGAAATGAAAAATAGGGATTCACTGGCCTGAAAAAGTCACTTCAATCAGCTGTGTGGTGGATACCAGGCTAAAAATAGTGGCGGTCAATTCATCAGCCTAGCAAGCTGTTGAATGGTGTAATCCCAGCACAAGTTGCTATGTCTAACATAGCTGTTCGCTATCATCGCTTCCGCGATGGGCAGGTCTGAGGTCTGAGGTGTGTGTTGATGTGTTTCTAGTTGTCCAGGTCTGTGTCGGTGTGTGGTTGTAGTAGTTAGTGTAATGGTTGTATAGCAATACTCATCACATAATCGCCATTCTCTCTTTTTTCTACAGATGCTATGGACTCCACTTCACCTAGCAGTCAACGGTGCCCGGATCAACGTTATCAAGGTGATGCTGTCACATGACAGAGACGGTGTCACCTTGGATACCACACTGCAGGACAGTGTAAGTATTTGATTGTGTGTTGTTGTGAAGTGAACCAGTCGGGAGATGTCCTATCTAGGACATCGCACTCTGATTGGTCACCAGTCCCAGGGTTGTCATGGAAGCGTCGGTCGCGCACACGCGATGAAAAGAAGTGCTGCGTGAGCATTTCTGAATGTATGTGGAGGATGCACGATCGTAATGGCGATGGATTTATTTCCGAATTGGTCAAGTTTGAGGGAGTAGGCGGAGAATATCAGAGATCGGCGGGGATTGAGGTAGTGTATATTCGATTCGCCATCGAATACCCGACCGAATGGCCGTATTCGTTTGGGGAGTTCATGTAGGGTTTCTGGTAAAGCGATTCGCTTGCCAGTTCCTTTGTCCAGACGTAGAACCTACTCCACAACTAGGAAAATAAAATTCCTGAAGGCAAGATACGAATCTCGACTCGCTTGAGGCAAGCCGCCAGGAGAACGGCAACTTTTGAGACGAAAGGCCTTCGTTGCGTTTGTTTTGAGTGCGATATGTTCATCTTCCTGGGACGCGACACAAAGTTTTGAGTCACGTGTCACGATTACTAGGGATATCACCGTATTTTTTTCTTTCGTAGTAAACCAAGAAAACTGTTTGTTTTTGGGAAGAACTACAGTACAGGAGTTAGCACAGAAAATTTGGATGAAAAATCTTGAAGGATACCAGAGATATGAGGCGTCAAAGTCATACGCCAACCTTCATCATGATGTATGCGGAATGCCATACTGCTGTGGCACCAACAGGGTTTTCCGGAAAGCCTAGCAAACGCTTAGCAACATTACAATATTGTCAGAATGCTATGAAATCTGGCTTGTAGGTGCAATATAGGTGCAAAACAGGCTGGTTAGTCCTAATGTTGACCAAAATATAATATTTCGGCAAGCGATGACCAATGAGAACGAGCGCGGCGCCCGTAGCAACCACCATAGCAACAATGCTAAATCCATTGAACACGAGTTCCATTACTATGAAATTGAAGTGAGCACTGATGGCTATGGTTGTATTATACATGTACAAATAATAAATACAGCAGTTTGGTCTTCAGATGCCCAACTTAACTGCGGCAGTCACACAGTTGATCAATCATGTACACTCGAACGTCTCTTATCCGGGCACCTTGGGACCGGGCACTGCCCGTATCTCAGATTTGCCCGTGTCTCAGGATAACTCACCTACCATGTATGATATCATTTTTTGAAGAAGTTTATTTGGCATGTATTGCACATGTTGAGGATACAAAGGGAACCCATTGATACAAATGTGTGGATTACATAGGTTGGCAGTGAAACATAAGCACTTCCACACACGGAAAAAAGTTCAAAAACCCCAAATTCGACTCATTTGTGCTATGGGCCCTCAAGCTGAAGGTGCCCGGTAGAGAGACGTGCCCGTATCTGAGGCGTCCGGATAAGAGGCGTTTGAGTGTACATTTACATGTACATTTACATGTAAAATGCACAATAGTGGAATACGCGTACAATCCAATCACTGACGCGATCCATGTCAGAGCACCACTCCATAGCAATTTCTTTCTGGTTTCAAGGCGACGAGTCTAATACAAAATCATAGCTCACTTTGTCGCAATAGCGAAAGTCTCCGTCAGGTGCAATCTTTCACTAGGGCCAACAAATCATCTGAAACACTCCCAGCGCTTGAACATATTGGGTCCAGAAATTCATTCATTTTGGGCTACCAGGAGGTGAAAGTCTTGAAAGCGCGATGAAGAGCGATCCCCCAGCTCGAGAAGAAAGCACTATTCTACATAATTCGAGGTTGCTGAACACGATGGTGGGTGTTTCCTGGCCGTGTACTCCCTCCAAACGGATGAAAAATCCAATTGAAAACTACGCTCACAACTAAAAGCTCAAACTACAGTTGCCCAAGCAAGTGCGGCACCAAAACGAGCAGGAAAACCTCAGCTATCAAACGCACCTGTCCTCGACGATAGCCCTTCCGATTACTCTCGATATCTCTTACATCACACGTACGCCACACTCAGAGGACAGATTATTGCTCTTACTCCAAAGAGAGTCTCAAGAAGAAGGCCACAAACAACAAGAATGCGTACAATAATGCATGCAGGCATGCGCAACCTGCGCAGTCCGCACCCCGACGACGCGTACCCAGCATACACGTGCCAAAAGGGGCACATATCCTCCAAAAGGGCAGGGACAACATACGGCCACATGAAAAAAATGCATCCTCTCCTGAGGATGGGAGAGAAAAAAATGAGAAGAAAGACAGGAGAAAAAGAAATCCAATGTGAACAACATACACATGCGGATACGCAGGGCCAAAACAGTAGGATACATTAGTAACTCCGGACAACGGGGGAAAAGCCAAAGCAAAGGGGTGGAAAGAAAACAGACTGAGCCCACCCATAGAGGGAACTGCCATACTTTCAGGCGTGGGCCCCCGGAAAACAACCACCTCGCCCTGGTGCGAAGCCAAGGCAAACCGACGGTACTGCGAAGACCGCGGCGGCTGAACCGGGTGACCAGTCATCTGACAGCACAGGAGTTGTCCGGAAAACTATCACGCAGCCGATTGGGCTACGAAAACTCACAGAGGGACACACACAGAAAGAAAGAAACACGGACTGACACAAACATCTCAGCAACACTAGGAGCCAAAATTCATACAAGAAAAACCACAAGAAGGAATGGCAGAACAGCAACGTTGACCACGCCTACGGATACATGGGCAGTCTATCCATGAGGACACCAGATAGCACACAAACAAATCGGTCACCAATACGCAAACAAAAATTAACATAGAAAAACCACAGGGCGCTACCCTGAATAACCACAAGCCTCTAACCTGAAAGAACCCACAGGCCTCTAACCTGAAAAAACCCACAGGGATTGAACCTGAATATCACGAGTGAAACACATCCGCTCACGAAACACAAAAAAAACACCGTCCTGAACCCCACTGGGACGCACAAAGGCCAGCCAGCAAAACACGGAAACCGAACACCCGCAAGGGGAACCGATAGTGCGATACAAATAAGTGCCGGATCCCACCAGCCCACCAGGCAGACCGTGGCTCACCATGATCGGACGCCCCCTAGGTGAAATGGAGAGACCCACGTGCCAAAACACAAAGACCAAACAACACGCTCACAGAAATATTGCCACCCGGACCGTCAACAAGAATCTCATGAGCATGTTACACCACTGGGCGACAGCCATTCCACATGAGCGGGACAACCAGGCGGAGCACTAAAACGCTCGACACAAAACATGGATACGAGTAAAATGAAAAAGAAAGGACATGTACCTGAAACTGGAAACGACGGAGTAAGAGTGTCACCAGACTCACCACATCGAGTAAATCGATGGGGACATCTACCAAACCAATCGATTGACACAGGATCGGAGCAATCCAACCACAACGCAACGATGTGCACCAGTGCACAACACAGGGCGAGTACGCAAACACGAGCAAAGCTACCCATGGCCATGCTGACTACCAAGCAACACGATGAGCATGCACGACAGCACGGACAACAGAGAAGGTGTGAAAACACAGTGCACACGACCACTCGAACAGCCAGAGGCCGGAGGGCGACAATGTACACTGGTTCAAAACACCGCACGCACAACGTCTGCCACAATCATGTACTAACAGGAGCGAGGCTCGAACGAGGTACTTGTACACAAGAGAACAACACGGGACTTCAATGCCACGAAGCGAAACAATTATTTTGAAAATCCCAAATCGAAGACTAGTACCAGGAGAACTACGTACAAGGTACAAAACATTACGCAGGGCAGACAAAGCAGGCTCACCTGAGTAGGAGCTCCGACGTCAGGGTTAAGCAGATGGAGCAAAGCGGAGCCATGGCAAGGACGCGTGGAGAAGGCAAGATTTGAAGCCACGGCGAAAACGAAAACGATCTCAGGGTCGTGGGGAACGATGCCACTAGCTGGGCGCCAGTTGTCGTCGGTGGATTTTATGCCTCGACGATAGCCCTTCCGATTACTCTCGATATCTCTTACATCACACGTACGCCACACTCAGAGGACAGATTATTGCTCTTACTCCAAAGAGAGTCTCAAGAAGAAGGCCACAAACAACAAGAATGCGTACAATAATGCATGCAGGCATGCGCAACCTGCGCAGTCCGCACCCCGACGACGCGTACCCAGCACACACGTGCCGAAAGGGGCGCATACTAGGCCTAGCCCAAATTTGCTTGGGGCGCTTCGATATTTTGCCGGCAAATTTTGCCCGATCACTTTCCATATTTTGCTCGGCATTGCATTGCCCTTCGTTTCCGATATTTTGCTCCATTTTGCTCCTGCTTTGTGGCAAAAATGGCTTCGAATGAACCGTCTACTTAAAAAAATGTCTTTGGTAAAAGTGGATGGTGACTCTGATGAGGAAAGCAAAACTTATAATGGTGTTAGTATTACGGATTTTGTAGCATGATATCAAATTTATGTACCCCTGACAACCTGCACGAGCTATTTCAGCACGACGTTGGCCCCATGAAACCAAAGAAATTTGAATAAAATTGCCAAAACACACCCGGATCCTCCTCTGTAAATTCGATATTTTGCTCGGAATTTGCCAGCATTTCGTGGGAAATTTCGATATTTTGCTGGAAGCATTGCCGGCAAATTTGGGCTAGGCCTAGCACATACCCTCCAAAAGGGCAGGGACAACACACCAACTAACTTTCAACTTTGAAAAAGAAAGCAGGACAAAGCAGTTCGAAAAAACTGCAGCGAAGTCCATGGTACGGTGCCACCGCTACCATGCTGAAGTACGTGACCCGCGTGAAGGCTGTTTTCAGCTGATTTGCCACGTATGGGTTTTTTTTGACGGATGCCGGATGGGAGTTTGAGCTCTCACTCAGACCTGGTTTCTGGCGCCCCGGGCCGTTCGCAACTCACCCTGATGCAGAGTGGCCAGTGTTGCCGGTGCAACGGCAACGGCACCTGAGTCAGGTGTGACTGCACCAAGGCTGGAGCTGC